CGTCGACTCGACTGTTTTACGCTATTGCAAATTGTGCGTTACCAATTTGAATTAAGTATTGAATGGTTTGCAAGTATTGAATGGTTTGGTTTGTTTTTTATTGCACTGTAATCCATTTTTCAAAGAAGCAAGAGAGCGTCCTCCCCTCCCATGGTTTTTTTGGACCTTTCGGTCTGATATTTTGTTTTTTTATTATATTGAAGGATTAAGTATATACTCGGAGGTTAAATATGTTTCAAAGTGATAGAAAACATTTTTTTTGCCGATCCACTCATTTTATTTTCTTTTTTATTATATATCCAAAAAATTCAAATAATAAGGTACCTGTGCACAATTGGTCGTCTTTCCTAGGCGTTTGTTGTTCCTAGGGTCTCCGTTTGATAACGCGTTTATCAAGAGAGGAATATTGTGGGAAACTGGGGTGTGGGGGGATATTGAAAGAAAAGTTACGCTCCCTTGTAATTTTGGTATTATTTATCTGGAAACTACTGAAAAAAAAACTGAAAAATTATCTTCCCGAGACCTCCATATCAAGTTAGTGGTTGATCAGACCCTTACCTGAAGTGTGTAGCGGTATTTTAGGAGATACAGAACAAGTTTAGACTATACATATTTATTACTGAAGAATATAAGATAAGGGAGAGAGGGGAATAAGGGGAGTGAGTGACGGCGGCCTGCTGACGACTGGCGAGCCTCTTGCTCGCGACCAACGGGTGCCAGCTGCTGTGCTTCGGCACCGTAATCCGGGCGCCGTGGGTGGCACCTTTCCCATCCAAGGCAAGGACAGACTATTTCAGAAAGTTCCAGTTTCCTCCGCAGCTTTTTTTAATTTCCAACTTAATTTCTGGCGCTCATGTCCATGGGAGACATCAAAGTGGAAGAGCCTTACTGTGCTTGGGACTAAGCCACCTCGTCACTTGACAATCAAATGTAAAGGGCTGCAACGGTGGACAACAGCATGGACGAGTAAAAACCTCCACATCGCAGAATCGCCGCACACGCGACGAGTGCCGATCGCCGCGTGCGACGGCAGCCTGACCCCAGGAGGAGAAACGCTACGCACCCGAGTGTGATGAAGTGGAAAATATACCTAGTCGAAAGGTAAGCGGCCGCAACCCAACCGTTGCTTGAGGGCTCGAAAGTGTTTCGCAACAAAGGATTGTTCCACGTCTTAGGCGAAGGCTTTACTTTGCTCCGCTGTAGGCCCATCAATGAGTAACCATCGACGCTTGACTCTAGCCTTTTAGCAATGACAGCGTTAGCATCAATGATGACAGCACTGACGAGACTAGCATTAATGCAGAAATGAACGAGTAGTGAAGCGGAGAAGCTATATTTGATAGGTCCCATGCGCGGGTCCGCAGACCGACTTTCCTTGGTTTTTTCTTCACAGGTGCATTAAATTCCAGAGCCTCTTCCTTTGATTTCTAACATTCTAAATTCTTGTGAATCAAAAAGCAAACCCAGTCACAAAAACGCTGACAAGAATATGGCCCGACTCTGGTGTAAACCAAGTCCAACTATTCTGCGATGGTGGTACTCCTGAAACGGTACCAGCAAAAGTTGACGTGGCAAGGTGTTGCATGAAAAGACATCCGAAGGTAGTTGCTCTACATCAATAAGAGACCAGAAACTAGGAACTACATAAGTGAGCGCAAACTCGAGTACCAGTCATGAGATATTTTTTTCGGGTTACTGTCCCTTTTGACCAGGAAACTTGGTAAAAAAAGGATAGCGTAACTCAAATATACAAAGTATGAAAGTGTTAAGGCCCGAAATGTATCGTAATACATTGTGCACTACGCTAGCTCCATGAATTTCAAAAGAGAGTTCTTGATCATCATAACCACAATATTTCGTGTCACCAAGGAACGATTACTCTCAAAACCAGTGTCATTATTGCTACTTCTTAAATTATTTGCCTCCTTAAATTAATTTAACTGCAATCACAAATTAAAAGTATTCATGTTAAGAGTTATGTAGAAAATCTGAAGCTGAATTTGTCCTGAGAAGAAGCTAAGCTCCAATTCTATAGCTAAAATAGCATATTTGTTGTGATGGATCCAATTCTAGAGAACATGGAAATTATTTTACTACAAACACTAATTAATATATCGCCGAGCAAAGTGCCATATCCTAAAATTCATATAAATTAGCTAGTAACAAACATTTCTGCAAAATATGCTAAACATAGGCGTAACGGAGCTTGCTTATAATTACTGATATGTTGAAAAAGTTTCAAATGGGTAAAAAGAAAATGTTAGGGTGGCATCCACCCAACTTGGAATGCATCACTTTCCAAGTGTGATTTTGGTGGTTCTTTAAGGCACCTCGTTTTACATAATGTTTATTGAGTAAATGAAACTACGAAGCCATTACATAAATGGATACAAAAGCACCAATCGACCAAGATATAAGGAGTATCAATCGAACAAATAAATGCGGTTAAATGAAGGATAAGAGTAAATGGGGTAAATGAAGATAAGGAAAGAAAAGGAATAGATGGATTGGATTTGAACTCCCTATTGTTTGTATTACTTGAACTTGGATTGGGTTCTCGCGGGTCCGCTACCGTCATACTAACACAGACGTAATTTCGACATGAAAACGACATAAAAAAATGACCGTCCTCACTCTGGGGTCGCCGAAGCATTCCCTTTGCAAGCCGTCCAAGACTGCCCGCCTTCTTTCGTGGGCGGCGTACTTTGCCCGGAGCGATGGGACAAATCGTGACCCGAAGGTTCACGACACTCCCGAGGCGCGACGTTCATGCGCCAGGATCTTACTCATGAGTTTTCGCATCCTCCCCGCAAAGAGAAAGTATGGCGTAATAGAATGTACTGTATTGAATTTAGGACAAAAAAGGTCAATGCTGATTGCTTTAGCAATATCAGAGCTTATATGGCTTACAAAGCTATCATTTATAAGAAAGGCATACAAGTAAAAGTGTTGAGTGAAAAGGAATAAGCAAGAAAAGCACCTTTTTCACAAACAAAATGGAGGCCTCAGATAAAAACAGTAGATTTAATAACGACAGTACAATCAGAAAGGAAGAAATCATGGTTCAGAGTCAATATTAAGCGATTGAACATAATGTAATGGTAAGTGAATGAAATATGCATTTTAGAATTAATGAATAAGGCACCAAATAAGTTGAGTCAAATCAAATAAAAGGAATAGGAAATAATTGCATGTCAAAGGAAAATTGCGTGTTATGACAAGTTGTGTTAGTAAACAAGTATTCAAATGAATTAAATTGGGATCAAGAGAAAACTGAATTCAAAACTGAAATTTGAAGGGACAAAACGCAGAGTGGTGACCACCCATCTCTGTTTCCCTTTTAGCGTTGAGACAGTAATAACAAGGATTTTTTTCCTACATGATGTTACCAAATGATTAGCATTTTGCAAACAACGTTCACATTTATCATCCCTCTTAAGAATTCTACTTCTTTCACGAAGTCTGGTCACTCGGGTACAATCCCATGCCTTATGCGGCCCAGAACAGAAGGGGCACGCATTGGATGAAGAGGTACCTTGTTCTTCAGCCGCGGTCGCTTGTTGCTGACGGAGGGCGTCCAGTTGGCGAGCGAGTTCTTGATGACCATTTTTCAATTCGTCCATGCTCTGCACCAACGTCACTTGAAATTCCATAACGTGGTCGAACCGATCCATCATGCGTTCATTCATCTCTTTGACGAGCTCTTCCAAGTTATAGCTGGAGTTCTGGACATGGTCAAGATCTTCTGTTATGTCTTCCACCAAGTTTTTTACGGCCGCTACATTTTGAGCTGTCGTATGAACTGCACCCTAAAAGGAACGGTTGAAATTGGACTGGGAATTGAAGTTCTAGTATTTTGTACCTTAACACTATTATCTCGTTTAGGTGTAGGTTCCCCAGAATGTGGTGGTGATGTGTACTTCCTTTTTCGCTTTTGGTCTTTTTGAGCGCTTTCTTTAGGTTTCTTAAACAGGTGGCTTAGTTTGAGCAAAGAGACAAAATGAATTGAAATTTCCTTTTTTTTGGTATTCTCAACTAGAGCATATTTAATATAAGTTAAAAGAAGAAATGAACTCACATGGGTACTCTCCACTTTTGATTTAATAGATGGGATGTCGACTGTTCTGACCTGGATTTGGGTGAGCTTCTTTCTGATGATGGAATGTTGATCTTCTTGCTGGTCGTCTGGAGTTGCTTCTGCACCAGCTACTTGCGGGGTCTTCCCGTTAACATCACCGTTATCCTCACGCGGTTCATCAATCATGTCTGTAATTGAATTGTAAAGTAGTTGTATTAAGTATCTAACTACGAGTATATATGACGGAAAGAATGAGATGATGAGATAAGAATTATGCCAATCTCTATATAGAACGATGTGGAGAAGTTTTTAGTACTAATGAAATAATGTGGACCGTTATGCGAAGCAAGAATTTGAATGGAACGATGCAAAGGCGGAGAAGGGTTGTGACTAGGAGCAGCGGCAAGAAAGCGAATGAGGAGGCAAATGTCATGGTTGGGAAAGCTCGTCGTGGCTTCTTGGTGAAAGGGCAAAGATGCGTTGCGCTGATTAGAATTGTGCTGACAAGGAGGAGGAGTACGATTACTGTATAGATGTAGAATTGCTTACAGATGTCGAAGAAATGGGATATATCGGGTAATTGGAAATCAATATCGATTGAGTTTTCATTGCCGGTTGTATTAAGAAAAAGCTTAGTGAACTTTGAGAATGGTCTTATGCCATTAATGTAATTTAGAGTTCCTTCTATTTCGAATACTATGATGTCTTTGCTGCACTGAACGCGGCATTGCTCTTTTACGCGTGCGCTGGTGAAAAACAGCTGTATCTTGTTCTCATAGCTTTCCTTTGTGCAGGTTAGCACGAACTGTTGAGTGGCACAGGTCACTTGTGCTGTGGCCTGTGCAGTGTCTGCGGAACATGAAATAGTTACAGTTGCGCCTTTGACGCAGTTATAACAACCCGTCAAAGACTTTGGAATAACGTTGCAATTGAATTCTGTGATGTATTGCTGAATTTGTGCTGGGGTAGTAGTCAGGCGTATAGCCATTTCTGCGTATAGCGTTTTGGTAGTTGAACTTTCAGACTTAATAACGGCTTGATGAGGGATGTAATAACATGGTGTTGAGCTATCAGGTGTTGTAGTATACGGGGCATCTTCTATGAACCTTTTCTCGAATTGTTCTTCAATAATCCTGCAGTATTCCTCCCAGCATTCAGGACTTTTCTCTTTCATCTTGAATAACTGGTGTAGCCTACTCAGGGCTAAACTGTAATTGTTAGCCAATCGATTCTTGTTGGATTTCCAAGGAAATCTTACATATATTTTTCCGTTTCGATTCTGTACTGTTGAGTAGAAGTCCTCTACTATCTGTTATTGAGCTCCTCTTCTGTACAGTGATCCTCTATCCCGATTCCGGGAAGCTTCCATAAATCGGAGATATCAAAAGGATATTCGTTGTCATGCAAGTCAACCGATGTGCACGTTGGACTATACGCTCATAGAAAGGGCTTGTGTTCTGGATTTTCGTTATTATGGTTGGGTACCCCTGATATTATTGGACCGAGGAATGTTTGTGTTAGAAATAGTCCTGACGGAAGACGAGTGACTGGTTGATGCAAATCCATGATTGAATTGAAATAGTCCATACCAGTGAGAATTTGAGGGGTTATTGTTCCTGTTGATGCATTAATAATGCAGTGTGCTTCACTGCTTGGGAAACTTTCACTGATGTCACTGTCACTGTCTTGTGGTAACATATCACCGAGTTGGAGAGGAGGTGTGATCTTTGTCGTGTGTCAGGAGTTGAACTGCAATGTAACCTCCATCGGAATTATAGAGGTTACCAATAACATTTTTCACTCTCTTTCTTTCTGCTCTTCCACCAAAGGTGTTCACGATTATGGTTGTTTCTTTTTGAACAGGAAGATTCATTGGCTTTGCAAGTGAACTTAAAATAAACGACTGGTCTGAAGCGGAGTCCAGCAGGGCAAAGATTGGTTTCTGTTCTAGATTGTTGTTGTCTTGTAAATAGACTGGTACGATCATAAGTCGGACTTCGTCGTAATTAGTGTATGGATTTACGCATTTTTCGTTGATGTTCGTGTCGTTTAAGTTTTGAAGTTGCAAGTTGACTCTGATGTTGGTGGGCGATTTTCGTCTTGTTATTGGCGAAGCCGCGAATCTGACGCGGTGCTGGTCTTCTGGACTTCTTGATGGTGATCTTGAGGATTTTCTAGCGCTGGCTTTCTTATGCTAAATTTTTGGAGGAGATTGTGGGTACAATCTTGATGAAAATCGTCCGTTGTGGGAGAAGCTGAAATTCCCAGTTCCATGAGTTGATCGATTGGGTGAATGACATGGCGTACGAAATCTACTTTGTGGTGAGTAGCTTCTGTTCCTGAAGTACCTTGTTGGAATATGATTTTGTTGCCTGTTCGGAGGACTGAAATGCTCTTGTCGGCGGTCATATGTGTTTCGTTCGAGAGGTGGTCTTGGTTGTCTGTTACATAAAATTGGATTGTGGGTTCCTCCACAGTACATACAGTTCCGCTTACGGTAAAGTTGTGTTGTATGGGTGCGGGAGAAACATTTCCAGCAGGCTCTAAATGTTCGTAGACGCTGGATTTTTTGGTTTGCTGTGATAAACTCGGTGCAATATTTGAACTTGTGTGGCTTATCACATCCGATGCAGCGCATCGGCGCAATCGACATTGTACTAGTATGGAAAATGGTGGTGGGTGTCCGTTCCTCCAAGTGGTGCCACTGGAAACTGCTCACCTTTGTGAGCTGAGCTAAACGCGGACATTCGAATGCAGGCGACAGGCCCCCGTGACAGGCCGGCCTACGAACACCCACGTCACATCACAAATGTCATGTCGCTATGTGAGTATCGAGATAATGCTACGGCGTCCGCGGGAGCCGACGCGCACTCGCAAAGCCGGCGAGAACGCTTTGGTGTAGCTCCCATTGCTGATAAAATGCGCGAAGCTCGGCTTCGTTGGTTTGGCCACGTTCTTCGCGGAAATGATGACAGTGTTCGCAAGATCGGCCTCAACATAGACGTGCACGGAAAGCGGCCCAAGGGGCGCCCGAAACAGCGCTGGCTCGATACGTTGCACGCAGACTTGAAGTTGGTTAACATCCACCCCGACCAAGCATTTAATCGGGAAAAGTGGCGACAGCACATCAGAAAAGCGGACCCCGCCAACAAGCGGGACAAACGCTGAAGAATAAGAAGAAGAAGAAGAAGAAGACTAGTATGGAAAATCAGATGCTCGTCGCTGTTGTGTTTTTGAGGCTAGTTATGTGTTCTTTACGTCTGACTAGCAGGGTAAGGTTATCTAGCAGATCTGTCATTGACCAGCTTCTTTCTGAATCGAACTCCTTCTTGGCCTTTTCGTCTTGAATGTTCTGTGGAAATGTATCTAGTACCATACTCATCATTGGAAATGTATCTAGTACCATAACTCATCATATAGATGGTGTTGACTACTTCTCGTTGTTTTTCCAATGTAGCTATTATGGCCTGAACATCGCTGAGGTTATTCCTGAGCGATCGGGAGTCTTCTCGGCATTGTTTCATGGATTTGAGTTGACGGATCATTTGCATTGTGACTTATGCTTGAGGGATCTTTGTAGCTGATTTTTGAGGTAGAGAGCGGCCTTTTCATACGACTTCCCCTGTCTGGAATCATTTTAGTGAGCTGCTGCCTAAGCTGCATCTTGCTTCCACATTTCAGAGGGATGGAGAGCTTTATCGATAGTTGAAATAAGTTGTTTTATGTAACTAGTTCTTCAAAAAGCTCCCAGAAGGAGCCGACTCCGCAGGTTTGCCGTTGAATTCTGGTATTTTGAGATCACTACCTAAGAGAGACATCTCTCTAAGGTCCATCCACATATTATGATTGTAAGTGTTCAGTGTGTTGGTGAAGTTGAGCTGCGGAAGGATCTGATTGCTGCTCAGTTGAATTGAGTATTTCCTTGCGTTCCCTCTTTTTGAGTTCTTGCTGATAGTGAGTGTACTTAACATTCGAGTTCGAGTAACCTTTTCTCCAGCTGGCGTTCGAGGTGTTCAGCTTCAAGGAGGAGATCTTCTCCCTTTTTGTCTAGCCAGTAGGTGTCGAACTCATGTTCCAGATTGGACTTCTCGTCTGTGGTGAGATTGGCTATTGTGTGGTTGCAAGTTTTGTAGTATTCGCTAATACTTTGTCTGCGTTTAGCGATGACTGTAATAAGATTTTGGAGTTGAGATCGATGTGAAGGAATGAACAGTTCTAATTCTGGAATTGTATTAGGTATTGTCCAATGCTGGAACTCTTGTAAGCCTCTATCGTATGAGGTTCGGGTGACCGTAGTTAGAGGACTTGCTCGCGTCATAGTAGAGCTTGACTTTTAAAGAGGAATGTTGCGACATACCTGAGCATTAGCACTGCAACCAAGGGTGCGAGTAAGCGATCGAGAGCGTCGAGAAAGTCGTACTGATACTGCACAACAGAACAGAAAATGAGTCATCCATGTCTTTATATACGTTGTGATTGAATGTTTTGGGAATATGAATGTTCTCGGAATGTGTTTTATTTGGATTACGTCCGAGCTCAAGGCTTTTATCTTTTCATCTTAGGATTATAAGAGCTTAGGAATTTTGTTGTTAGAAGGCTTCCTCTCCGAACACGAATGGCTCGTCGGCGACGGGATGCCTGACAAGCTTGAAGCTTTTATCTCGCGTCGTGAGATATGCGCGCTCAAGAATTTTTTGTTTCGAAAGGCTTATCGTCTGAGCGACTTTTGAATCGAGAAATTTTGCTCGGGGTCTCGATGAATTTGCAGTCGGGAATCGTCTATGTGAAGGGTTTTGTTGAAGAACACTCCTTAGATCCATGGTAAATGGTTTTGAGGTAACCTGGTTAATGAGATGATATGTAATCTATTATACATCTATACTTGGCCAGTCTGTCGGGATGCATCCACGGTTCCGAGAAAATACTCTTTCCGTTAAGTTCTAGGGCAGACTATCGGACTGCCACCGGGTTTTCTACGAGTCGTCTCCTCTCGATGAATTCTTGGGCAGACTATCGGACTGCCACCGGGTTTTCTACGAGTCTTCTCCTCTCGATATATTCATGAATTGCACTAGTGCGAAACTCAACTCTGTAAGAAGGTATATCTCCGTTATAAATTGAATTGGCTCCTGGACTTTTTTTTGTTTGTTTTAATGTGGCCACAAGAGAAAGGGAAGGGAGAACATGAAAAAGAACATAGAAAAGGAGAGGAAGAAGTAACGAGATTCAAGCGGATTGAAGATGTTCTGCCAAGGGTACGATAGGTACGTTATTTGCATGCTAAATAACTTACCTCAACGTAAGAAAAGAAGGAGCAGAGATCCAGTTCCGTTTTTTGGAGGTAGTAGATCCTGATGAGCTGTTGGGAATTGGGATTTGGGATTTGGCCGATGCACCATAACTTTGGAATGCATCACTTTCCAAGTGTGATTTTGGTGGTTCTTTAAGGCACCTCGTTTTACACAATGTTTATTGAGTAAATGAAACTACGAAGCCATTACATAAATGGATACAAAAGCACCAATCGACCAAGATATAAGGAGTATCAATCGAACAAATAAATGCGGTTAAATGAAGGATAAGAGTAAATGGGGTAAATGAAGATAAGGAAAGAAAAGGAATAGATGGATTGGATTTGAACTCCCTATTGTTTGTATTACTTGAACTTGGATTGGGTTCTCGCGGGTCCGCTACCGTCATACTAACACAGACGTAATTCCGACATGAAAACGACATAAAAAATGACCGTCCTCACTCTGGGGTCGCCGAAGCATTCCCCTTGCAAGCCGTCCAAGACTGCCCGCCTTCTTTCGTGGGCGGCGTACTTTGCCCAGAGCGATGGGACAAATCGTGACCCGAAGGTTCACGACATCACGCATAGCACAGGCCCCGAAGGTCCACGACACCACCCAGTGAGTGCCATTGTCGCCAAAGGGTTAAGCAAGTTTTCCTACATTACACGGTTCCATCTCTTTAGGGTAAGACTTCCGAACTGCCATATCACACAATCCGATGCTAAGAAAAACTAGTGGACTCTGAGAAGACTTTTACAGGGCTGCTGTGTTCTCCGCTCAACACCTCTACACTGTTGATTGAAGAAACCTGGCGACCCCGTTTCCGTATACATATTCCTTTATGACGCGTGCCTCAGGGTGCGCAGCACGCTGTAACCATAATATCCTACTAACTATAAAGCGCTTCGTCTGTCGTCTGTCGTCTGTCGTCTGTCGTCTGTGTGTCTGTCACGAAATTCCCTAGCTCCTCGGGATCCACCTGGAGGGACCGGGTCAAGTGTGGAATGGGTGGGCAAGGTCTCACGTAATACAAAACACACATCAGCTAAGCGGAGCCCCGCCCACAGAGGGCGTGGCGTGCGTCGAAATGAATTGTACCGAAGACCAAGATTTCGATTTCAGTGACAAAACGACCTCGAAACTGGGCCAAAAAGTGGGTAAAGGTGTGCATTGGTAAGTCACATCGAATTAGGGAGACCCACCCCCGGTGGGCGGGGCGTTCTCCAAAAAGCAGTGCTTTATGAAAAATTTCATAACTCGGTTGGGAGAAAGCCTACAGAGCAGAAAACAATTTGGTGTAAGGGAGCAATGTCTAAGGTGTTTCCTGCATACATGACGTGGGCGGAGGCCCGCCCAGAATGGGCGGGGCGCGCTCTGAAGTGTACAGCATTTTCTACAAGCCCT